AAAAATGCATTTGATTTTGGCAAAATCCTTGAAATTGAATGCTAATTAATTTAAAATCTTACTAAAACGACAAAAAGACACAGCTTTCCACGTTATAAAATCCAGTCTAAAATGTCTATTACAAGAATTACAGTCAGTATTTCTATTCATAGAAATTATAACGTGTACAGTTACATTTATCTGCATATGATTTCATCTACAAAAAACAGTATTGTGCAAAAATACACAATAGAAACTGATCAGAAAAAGTATCCAACCCTATTCAGTTCAGGCTGCAAATTAGAATGAAACATATGTCTGACTTTTTTTTTATTTTTATTAACTTTTGCTTTCAGTACTATGCGAACCTATGGAGTCAAATTCTAAGTTTAATTGAAACCACAGAGTTTTCAAAATATTAAACTTTAGTGATCACTTTGAGTAACATTCATGCTGTATCTGATCTATTCTGAAAGTTTTAATAGAGTAAAATTAAAGATGTCATATAAGTTGGAACTATTTTTAACAGAGTCTAAAGGAGCTCTGGTAGCGTAGTGGTTACGAATCGGGCTGCGAACCTTAAGGTCAGCGGTTCGAAACTACCAGCCGCTCCGCGGGAGAAAGATGAGGCTTTCTACTCCCGTAAGGATTTACACCCTCGGAAACCCTGTACAGGGTCGCTATGGGTCGGAACCGACTCGACGGCACTTAACAACAACAACAACAAAGGCTTTTAAGTTTTCTTTCTACTCACTAGAAAAAGAACAATGACCAACATTAAAGGCTACTATGCAACTAAGAACCCTCAATTTCATAAAGGAATTTTCAAGATAAAGCTTATGTTAATATGTCCCTTGCCACACCCAAAGCACAATGCTCAGCAGTGATATACACAATTTAAAATGTTTATAACAACACCTATTTCACACTACTAAAGTTGAAAAAACAAAGAAAAATATAAAGACATTCACTTTGTAAAAATATGCATAGATGATGTAATATTGAACATAAAACTAAAAGGTAGACAAACAAAAAATGTCATTCTTTTCCTGTTCATTGAGTGAGCATTTTGAAATGCCAGCCTTTCTCTGTCATTCTTGTATTTCCTTCCTAACTTTTAACAGCAAATGTTAACTGCCATCCAGTAAGTTTGAATTCTTAATGACCCTGTATAGATAGGGTTTCTGAAGATTAGCTGGTGGGTTTGAACTGCAGACCTTGAGGTTCGGTGCTGATCCTACACCAGGAGTTCACTATTAGAGTCAGTTAAAAACATGTATCAGATAAACTAAAAGTCTAAAATCAACATTACAAGTATGCTCTTTGTGGAATGGCCCTAACTAACTCAACCTAAGCCTTAAAAATGTTTTCGTTAATTCCCCAGCATAAAGCTGATCTATTTCAAATCAATATTTTCTGTTGGACAAATTTACACTATGCCTTGATAGCACTTTTTACAATATTTAGACGCGATTCTTGAGCTTTCATTGTTAGTATTAGAAACTATATGTAAAATTAATTTATAAGCATTATTGTATTATCTAAAGAATATATGCGTTATCTAAAGAATCATTTTTAAAACTTGGTATTCTCTATTTCTTGGATTCTTAATTTTTTCAGGAATCAACATGATAAAGAGTCATTGTTCATTTCCAATTCCAATCTATTTACTCAAATACGATCATCATAAAGCTCTGGTAGCCTAGTGGTTATGAGTCGGGCTGCTAATCTCAAGGTCAGCAGTTCGAAACTACCAGCTGTTCTATCTATGGGAGAAAGATGGAGGCTTTCTGCTCCTGTAAGGATTTACATCCTCGGAAAACCTATGCAGGGTCGCACACCACTACCACCATATTGCGTGCACATATTTGCAAGGACCACTGTATTTTCATTCAGAACATAAAAATTATATTTGCATATTATATTATACCTGTACAAATTATTACAATAGACTCTTCACTAAAAACTAGTCCTTTACAACTACAAAACAAAAGTACATTGCTTTTGCCTTTGATAAATGTGACAGTGTTAGTCCGTTGGGTTTTTCCTTACAGAGAGCAGGGTAATGAATTGAGAACCGTACATTTGCCATGGAAACTTGGGAATTTTTAGCTTCAAAGAACTTTCATCAAAGCCATTAGTCAGAACTAGCTCTGATTCCTACTGTATTTTAGCATCTGAAACAGCAGCTCAACTAAGATATTTGTACATTTTTTAAAAAATCAGTTAATTAACTAAGTATGCACAAAAAACTGTTCCAATAAATTAGCTATTCATTTTTAATTGCAGGTAACCCAGTACAATTGGTGACTTTCAAAGGCACTGCCCAAATGCAACCAAAATGTAAATTATTAAGATTTAAATTTTATTATAATCACAGAAGAATAATTCAAAGCTCTTTTTCTAAAAAAAATGTAAAATTGACTTTTGTAAGTTCTCTGCCATTAAGTGGACTGTAGTCTTGAAGTAAAACAAAGCCCAGGGCTAGAAAATCTGACAATTCATTGTACAGCTTGACCCAACCAAGAGTCTACTGCTGAAGATCTCCTACTTCAGCAGTGAATGCAGAGGAACTGAAAAGACAGTTGAAATGATGCAATAGAAACTTGAAGTCAGGGAATTAAGGAAGTGGAGCAATTAAGAAAAACAACTTTTTAGAAAATATCGTCATTCCTAACCTGATTTAAACAAAAATGCAATTATCATGCTTAGGTGTTAAGACTTCATTGCTTAATTATTTGTAACTCCAAAATCTAATAGTATACAAAGGTGTCAGGAAAGGGACTACTCCAGAAACAATCTAAGTGTCAAAACACAGTTTGGTATTAAATGAAGGTGTTGTGGATGCAAACGATTTTAAGTGGAAAACCCTGTATGTATAGGGTGTCTTACATCTGTAAAGCACCCAAATATAATTCTTAAAGTGCATTAGAAATTACTAAAACCTAGGACATGCTATTCCTTCTTTACAACCAGAAAATAAGAGCCCCTTGAGATCAGAAGGGTCCTGACATGCTAAGAAAATGAGTATTTACAACCCACGTGGATTTATTTGAAAGGAACACCATGAACTGAATACCGTGTTGAAGGCACAAGATCTTCTTCCAAAAGTTACTTATACTGAATTTGTGCCTTCCTGCAGGGCGTTTCCTTTGTTTTTCAGGTAGCAGGGCATCCCCCCCTTTTTTTTTTTTTTAATGTTTTATTGTGAATTATATGATCGTTTACGTGATATTTAGTTTTACATTCATTCCATCCATTGTATATTGTTTCATTGCCATGGTTCCAATCCCCTCCATGCATCATCAACCGGACCAAAGGGTATACCCTATAAACCCGCCCCCTACACTCCGCTCCCCCCCCCCCCCCCCCCCCCCCAGTCTTCAGCACACAGTCCCTCTCCCTCTCTGGATCCAAAGTCCCCAGCCCCTTCATCACTCCATGTCTCTGCCTCTATCTCAGGCATCGCAGGGCAGCCCCTTTTTGGTATTCTGTCCTTTCCTTAGCTCTAAGGCAGGACTGCATACCAGAAAGGTCTACAATCATAATTAACTGCACCCTTCTAAGAAGCATTTTTATCATGAAATATTCTGTCACCTCTAAGAGGCATTTCTCAACTCCACTGGACAATACAGGCAGGCCCCCAGGTGATGAAAGAGATCCATTCCTAAGTGTATCTTTAAGTCAAATGTGTAGGTAAGTCTGAACACAGGCCCATAGGGTTCTTTATTTAGTGTTTCTTTAGTGCAAGAAAGGGCTCAAAGCCTTTTCATTCATTTAAAAGCTGCACTTAGCAAGTCCTAGTGATTGTGATGAAGAATTTGTTTTGAGTAGTGGTTCAATCCTTTCAAAGTGAGGGCAAATTTACATAACAGTAAAAGGCAAGTACAAGTTGTCCCTAAGTCAGACCTTACCTAACAGAAGCCTGCCAGTATCTGAGGAGCACAGATACACTTCAGAGAATCTGCAGGAAATGACGGCAGGGCAGTCAAGCAGACGTTGGGAAGAACACTTTTCCCCCCAGTATACATCCAGAGAGAACTCAATCATTTCTGCCCTGCAGGTCAAAGCACTGGGCTGACTGAAGTTTACTTTCTAAATGAATCTTTATAAAGGGTAGCTGGGTTCTGATCATACCTTCCATTCACATGCAAAACTTCAAAATCATCTAAGAGTTAAAGGTGAAGTGTCGAAGTAGTGGTGCCTTAGGCAAGAAGCAAGCATCACTTCCTGGAAGCTCTTAACCTTTTAAAACCTAAAATATTTCTTGACAATGCAGTCTACATAGCAAGAAGAAAGCAACCAAAGATCTTATTTTACCCAGCAATTGTTGACTGTTTTTTTTTGTTTGGGTTTTGTCCCCTCCCCCACCCATCCCCACCCCCACCCCCTGCCAATGGAACTATGTCTTTCTCCCAAAAAGAGACTGATAAATATAAATTATATCATATCCTTTTTTTTGGATGCTCTTCACATCATTCACGTTTAGTTTTATCTCATTTCCCCCTTTTCTTGGCAACTATTGCCGTTTGTATATAATTATACTGTGGTTTTACAAAACATTGCCCTACTGCATTAACTTCTCACCAAAGGTTTACATGCTTAGTGATTTAAATCTCTGGTAGCATCCTTATTAACTACATATTGTCACGTCACCTTATCCTTTAAAAGGCATTTAGTTATTATAATATAAAAGAGGTACACTCTCTGGGATTCTAAGCTTGATCCAGTCTCCAAATGCACCCTTGTTGTTTTGCATAATCAGCTTTAATGATTAATCATCAAAATACAATCTGAGCTAACAGTAATGACAGTGACCGTCTACCCCTGAATACAGAGTGTGTGTAGTACACACAAAATGGACATGAGATACGTTTTTCCATGTTGGTTTGTAGTATAAATCAGCAGGGTGACACAGATCTTTTAAATTCCCATCATAAAACACAATACCAAAGCAAGGAAATGTGTATTCCATTTCCCCTTCAAAATATAAAGATTATTGAAAAATTAAACCTTCCTACCCGTAACAGGGACTGGGATTCATCCTTGGACTTGCTTTCTGCAGATGCAGGATACTGCTGGGTGAGGGCCCCAGATTTCTCTCCGCCAGTTGGCACCCCCTGCAGGAATCCCTTGGTCTCGACAGCCAAGCCATAAATAGGTCTTGCCAGATGGGCAGCTTCCACGTTGGGGCTATCCCTTAGAGTCTTTGTCTGTTCTTGAGTGCCAGACACAGGCGTCAGAAGCCCTAGGCTTGCTTGAGTATATGATGGACTACCCCGTAGGATCTCTGCCCCTCTCCAAGTCACACTGCGAAGGTCATCGCTGGAACTCTCAGTCCAAACTTTCTCTTTAAGTCCATCCTTATCTTCGACTTTCTCCCTCTTTACTATACTCTCGGAAACTGGCTCTCCGATTTTAGAGTCTGGATTTATCAGACTGTAGACCTTGAGGTCAATTTTGGGCTCCTCCTTGATGGTGGAGATGGCATGGCTGTCCTCTTCACCGTTGGCTGTAGTGATGTCCTGTTCTTGGCAGTGAGCAGTGTTGAAGTGATCTAGTAGTGACTGAGTATCAGCAGCTGTGAAGCTGCACTGGCGGCATTTGTAGCAGCCGTGTGTTCTCCTGGAGAAGAAGAAGACAAACATTGGAAATCTAGCATTCTGAAGGGTTGTGCTTGTGAATTTTTTGCTGTTGTTTTTCTTTTTTTAAAAAAAAATAGTCTTTAAGTATCTGATCTTTATCTCGTGTCATGTAGGAGGTACATCAATACACAATATTCTCAATTCTCAGAAATCAAAATGTAATTAACTGGTATTTTCAACTCTATATAAAGAATGTGGTTTCCCTTTTATTAACAGGAATAGGTATAAACTCCAGTACCTGCAAAGGCACACACTCCAGTTGGTAATTGGTATAACTGGTTGGGGTTTGCTACATTATCAAATGACCTGCTTTCTTCATTTTCCCTTGAAGGGATGACTATTGATTCTGTTATTGAACTAGACAGTCATGACTTTATGCTTGATTTTGTAAGTGCACTGTTGCCTTTTGTTCACTTACACTAACTTAAGTCTTTTTCCCCTCATTTTTCACTAACATTTCTAATGCCAAAGTAATTTTTTTGACTTTTCAAATTAAAAGAAGTTTTGGCTAACAACCCAGTCAATTCAATAAAATGTGTTTGGTATCTATAACTTAGTAAAGTAAATAAGAGGTATTAAAAGCCCCAAGATTTTCCTTAAAAATTCTATTTCTCTGTAAGGATATATGCACATTCAATAAATTGAGCTAAGGATGAAGTGTAAAAGACGCATACGGATGGAGAGCTGCTTAAGGTTGTCAGGAAGGTCCTTCTGGGGGATAGAGAGAGAACCTTGTAGCTCACAGTAAAAAAGTAAAAAAGCTCACAGTAAAAAATCTTCAGAGATTAAGGGAAGCATTTGAAAAGTTACGTGCAGGGGAGCAACAAGGCCAAATGTATACCTTAATCCCTTTTGTTGTTATTGTCGTTGAGTGCCCCTAGAGTGGGTTCTGACACAGAGACTCTGTATAGGATTTCTAAGGAGTGGCTGGTCGGTTTGAACCCCTGAGTTCATGGTTAGCAGTCCAGTGCTTATCCTACAGCACCACACCAGGAATCTATATGTACTGAATAACTATATTCCCTCATGGGACATCTCTGATGGTCAAGTTCAAAGATTTTCCTACTTTAGAAATGTATTCTTACAAGTAACAAAGCCATCAACCACAATTTGTTGAGATAATATATAATGTTAAACACAAATGTGAATATTTAATGTTAAATTTCTCTTTCTACAGAAGATTGAAAATCTTCTGTAAAAAGGAAATAAAGTAAATGATAATACTTTGATCATGGCTCAACCATGAAAGTACAATACAATTAATTTTATCCTAAATGGAAGAAACCTAACTCTTAAGAAAAGATGTCTATGACCAAGAGTTAGAATCCTGTCTCCAGCGACAAAGCCAGGTTACAAAAGACAACAGTCAAGACCTAAGGTCCAGGGCTCAGCACCATCAAGAACCTCAATTAAGGAACTTCTTACCAAAACCACACTCTAGTGTGACCCAATGGGAGATTGGCTACTAAATTCATCATTGTAACAATAACAACAAAAAGAAATACATGCTTATATGGCCTGTTTATCAGATAAAAATAGATATGTAAGATTGATTACAGTTCAAAACACACCCAGAAAATATGCTGCATAATCTGCTGAGTCAGGAACATTAAAAATAAATAAACTTTCATGAAACTTCATGAAAGTTCTAATCAACTTCCACCCAAAACACTTCTGATGAGCTCACCAACCACTGTTAAAGCATGTGTGTGGTTTTCCTGGCATGGCAGGCAATCTGCTTCACACCTGTGATGGAACCCTTGATTAAAACTTAACACTATATATTGCCACTGTGACTTCTAGCAAGACTGGGAGCTCTTGTACGAATATTCCAAACCATTGCAATTATGCTATTTCAAGACTAAAAACTACAAATACTAGGTAATCATATCAACATATGAGATAGGAAATATAAGATCCTAGAGCAGTACATAGAAATAATTGTTTTGAAAGTGCAAGTTCTCAGTTCTTATTGGCGAAGTGATTTACTCACACTGAAGAGTGTTGAATCCAGAATCAGACTGCCTAGTTTCATACCTGGCTTGATGTTTTACTAGATCTGTGACTTTTAGTGGACAATTTAGTAAACCTTTGTCTCAATTTCCCCATTCACAAAAAAGCAATAATAGCAAATTTGATGAATTTCTTGTGAATTTTAATCAATAACACATGTAAGTAAGCCTTAACCAACATAAAGCCAATATAAAAAAATGCAACATGGCTTTATGTTGGTTAACGCTTACTTATGTGTGTTATTTATTTAATATTTACAAGAAATTCATCAAATGCACTATGATTTCTTTTTTATGAACCTGCATTCAATATTCTTGGACTTGCAAGAGTTTAAATTTACAAGTTGGAATTTTGGTATCATTAATTTCCTATCTCCTACATATCTAACAATGGCAGACATCATTAAACTGAGTTTACTTCCTAAAAGATATTTGCTGTAGGCCACTGCGAGGCACAATATATTTTTAAATTAGAAATGTAGCTTAGGTTTCTTTAAGATGATGTAGCTTCAATATCTACTTATTCTGAAATCTAGAAATGTTCTAGAGTCAAACTTGAACACTTGCCAAATAGAGACCAATGCAGCCATCCTTTACCCATTATTCAACTTATACTCTCTCCCAATAGCGTAGTGGTTACGAATCGGGCTGCGAACTGCAAGGTCAGTAGTTCGAAACTAACAGCTGCTCCGTGGGAGGGTTTCTGCTCCCGTAAAGATTTACAGCCTCGGAAACCCTGTGCAGGGTTCGCTATGGGTCGGAACCAACTCCACAGCACATAACCACCACCACATTAAAAAACAGGTTGTAATAATAAAGTCAATCGGCACACCTTTTCTTCTGAAGAGTTCAAAGTACTCTCATATGATCTCATTACAGTGAGAACACCCCCACCCCATTTTATAGAGGGTGTAATGGACACTTAATGCTTTGTCCACATTAGTTAACATCAAGTCAAGAATACAGGCCCTCTAACTTCCAGATCAATGTTTTATGTTTCTATGCTGCTTAAATTCTGAACTTTCTACAAAAACAAAAGATATGATTGAGAACATGGAAAATGAAAACATGGTGGGCAAAAAGAAATCTAATAGTGAAGAGACTGCCTACAGCAATGGTTTACAAACAGGCTGTGCGCAGCATTGCAACCTTAACGGCTTTATATCAAGACAGATTACAGCACCGCCTCCTTGACCTACTAAATCACAATCCTCCGGGTTTAATCCGAGAATATGAATTTTGTTTTGTTTTGTTTTTGAGAAGGTGAATTCATAACAAGGCCCTCAGGTGACATTGATGCCGAGACAGTGTTTCCGAGCCACAATGCTAGCTGCATCTTGATTCTAAAGCAACTTAATGAATAAACTCAAAAGACATCCCTCACCTCCCAAGACTGTAATAAAACCCAGGTAATGACATTACTATCTTATTTATTCACAATCTTAAGATGATGGGTCTGACTACTATTCATGAAAGAAGAGCAAAGCTTGACAATTAAGCAGTAAAGGGCTAGCCTGCTCTGTCTTTCAAGACGTTGATCACCACAAGGTGAAACAGAGACAGTATTTTGCTACATGGTCTGTAGAACAGAAGCACTCCCTTCTTGCTATAACATCAGTCCAAAATAAATGATACAGAACATATGAAATAGACAACACTACTCTACTTTCAATAGCTTGGAAATACACAAACTTTTCAGCAACTTATGTTGTTGATAGTAGGTGTTCTCTAGTTTGTTCCGACTCACAGAGACCTTGCACAGAGTCAGTGTGCCATGGAAGGATAAGCAGTGGACTGCCAACCACACCCTCAGTGGTTCAAACACACCAGTCGCTCCTAGAAAATTCTATACAGGGTCGCTATGAGTCGGAACCAATTCGATGGCACCTACCAAGAAGATCATAGGGTTTCCGAGGCTGTAAATCTTTAAGGGGATCAGAAAACCTCATCTTTCAACCAATGAGCAGTTGGTGGGTTTGAACTTCTGACCTTGTGACATCAGTGCTTATTCTATAGAACCACCAGCACTCCACAGTAAAGTATACCAACATCTTAAAATAGCACTTCTCAAACTTTAATACCTGGGGACTGTGTTAAAATTTGGTTTCTGATTCTGGATGTCTGGAGTGTAGCCCAGGATTCTGCATTTCTTACAAGTTCCCAGATGATGCTGATGCTATGGGTCTCCAAATCATACATCAAATTACACTAATTGTATAACAATGGTCAGAAATAGTATCAAGATGGGTTATGTGTTAGCTTGAAATCAACACTCAGCATATATACTTACCACTTGATAGTGGTGGTGGTAGTTATGTGCCATGGAGTCGGTTCTGACTCATAGCGACCCTGTACAGGGTTTCCAAGGCTGTAAATCTTTACGGGAGCAGAAAGCCTCATCTTTCTCCCACGGAACAGCTGGTAGTTTCAAACTGCTGACCTTGAGGTTAGCAGCACAATTCGTAACCACTACGCTACCAGAGCTTCTTACCACTTCATAGAGCATTCCCAAATGAATATGTTGAACAACATCACTTTCCCTCTTTAAACACATACAATATCACACATCTTGGAAAGTTCAAAGTAACAGCTTTATCAGTTAAAATCACAAATAAGAAATTGTCAAACCTAAATCCAAACCCCAGGACTTCCAAGTAGTCTCACTTTTCACGTTATTGTTTGATGACTATCTTTCCAATACCCATTGTATTGGTGTTGTTAAGTGCCATCAAATTGGTTTTGACTCATAGGACCCTGCATAGGGTTTCCAATGAGCAGCAACTTGAGATCAAGTGCTTATTATCCTCCAGTGCCACACCAGTACTATTATTTTTTCACAGTAGTCACACAAAGTATATATTTATTTCCATCTCCATTTCTCACACACAAAAAAGCTGACGCAGAGTTCAGTAAATGCACACAAAACAGCAGAGCGCATAATACAATACTTTTTATATTGGAGAATGAC